ATTCGACTTGAGTTTGGTACAGCTTATTGCTTGAGCTGGAGATACCTACATTGGTTTGACATTAAGATTACTTCTTGTGTCGTGGACACTGAACATTGTGAAGCTCATTCTCTCCAAGTGATGAGAACACAGCTAGAAACTCTTGGAGAAGAGTTTAAGCTAGCTGGAAATATCTGATGGAGAGAACCTATTATACTTTGAGTCTTGGACCTTGAGATGCATTGGCATTGTGAGGACAATGTCCACATTTGGGCATCTTATTTGTCTGAGAGTTTTGTGATGAGATGTTTCGGTATTGTGAGGACAATACCTACATCATCGTCATCGTGACCTATGGATCATATACTTGATCTTATGGTGTGCATTTTATCGTTCCTGAGATGACTTTGGTTATCTCTATGAGAACGACATTGTTTTGAGATGACTTTGGTCTACATTGTGGATTGGCTATTGCAGTGGTCGAAAGACTTCAGCGATACAACTGTATTTGGCTGACCTACATTGACAATGTCGAATAGAACATTCTATTCTCCATTGAGATTTGAAGCTGTGAGATGCTATCTCTATGTGGAAAGCTGATTTGGAGAAGGAACGTTGTGTTCTGACTATGTTTTGTATCCAGAAGAAGGTTGTACAGATACCTTGTGTGAATCACTTCGTTCTTGAGAAGTTAGTCAGCTTGTGACTAATGAGCTGGTTATTCACGTTTGGGATGAGAACCAGTTTGCTTTGAGAACTTTTGGAAGTGTTTCGATGTTTCTGAATTCATCTAGTGAAATTGAGTTTTGTAGACTTGTAGCAGCTGGAATAGTTTCAACAAACCTTTATTTGAAGAACTTGAGGTTTGTTAACTGGAAACCTGGAATCGAGTTTACCAGTTGAGACATCGGCTCGAAGGACTGGTGTCAGAAGTTCATTTAATGAACAAGAGCTGCTGTGTCACATAACTTGACATAAGACAGACCGACACAGGGAACACATCATCTCCTTTTGTTGGTTTTGTTTGTTTGCTTGTTTGTTGTGTTTCTGTTTCCCCGTGACTGATCGTGTTGCGTCTGGAGCGAAAAGAAGGAGCTTGACGTCAGCATGTGGGAGTCGAGGGTGAAACATTCTTTTTGACACGGTATTGCTTTAGTGTAATTAGTTTTTGGGAATTTACGCTCTGCGCTTGTGTTTGGTGTGCGTGGTTGACGTACGCGTCCGCCTGCGTAGTTCTGTAGGAATTTTGAAGAAGCGTTGGATCTGACCGCAGATCTGTGCACGGCGCTTTTTCTACAAAAATAGTGTCTCTGGATTTGTCAGAAGATCGTGCTTGGGATGTTTTGTAATATGTCATTGAAACATTGCGATGTTGTGGCAGTGCATTTGGCACCGCCATGCGGCACATGCAGCAAGGCCAGGGGAATCCCAATGCCGGACGGATCCCCTGGCCCACAGCCGGTTCGGAGCCAAGAATTTCCTTTGGGCCTTCCCGACATTTCTGAACTGGACAAGTTGAAAGTTGATGCAGCAAATCGTTTGTATGAAAGAATGGGAAAATTTGTGAAATTTTTGGATGAGAGGGGAATTGCTTGGGTGATTGAAAACCCAACCAACAGTTTGTTGTGGGAGCTGGAGTTCTTTGCATATGCAGTTGAACATGGAACATTTGCACATTGTCATGCTTGCGCCTTTGGGGGTGCCAGACCGAAGAAGACTTCCTTCCTTAGCAATAAGAGCAGTATTTCTTTGATGCAGCGTTTTTGCGAAGATGTCGAACCGCATGTGCATGAACCTTGGGGTTATAGCCCTGAACAAGGCTTCGCGACAGCAATGGAAGCCCAATACCCCAATGGTATGTGCGAACAACTTGTACGTGTTTTTGATGAAATTTGTTTGGAAAAAGGAGTCAGAGTGCAGCCCGCTGACTACAAACCTCCACGTGTCGACAAACAACCGCGTGGCAGGGCCACTCCACAGCTGATTCCGGGATATGAGAAAGTTTGCAGTGTTCTTTTAGATGCATTACCATCGACAGATGCAAAGCGTTGTTTGTGCGAGCCTTGCAAGCATGTTCCAGCAGGCAGCCGCCTGCTGCGTACCGAGAAGAAGGGAGAGAAGCTTTTGTGTGGTTTTGGGATTTTTCACTCATGCGAAACCTTTGTCGCCTTGGCCAAGACTTTGTGGCACCCTTTTGACACAGCTGCACATATGCCTGACCATTTGCTGAAATGTTTACATGAGCACCTCACAATGTCACCAGTGGAAATTGTGCGACTGCGCATACAGAGACCTAAGCTTTGGACCACCTGGGCAACAGAACTTGCAATAGTGGAAAAAAAGTACAAACAGAAGTGCGACCCTAAGGTCAAAGCTGTGCTCGGTGCCAAGCGTTTGCTTCTAATGGAAAGGGTTGCAAAAAGTATCAAGTGGCCAGACACCACACTGTTTCAGGAGATGTCCCAAGGTTTTCGTTTGGTGGGACAGGCGACGAAATCAAATGTTTTTCAATCTGGTATCAAAGCGGCTTCAATGAGTGAAGAACAATTGATGAAGGACGCCAAGTTTTTGAAGCCAGCGTTGCTTGGAAAGATACGGGCGAGCCGTGGAGATGCCCACAGCAAGGAACTTTACGAGCTCACTGAAAGTGAAGCTGTTGATAAAGGTTGGCTGTCTGGCCCTTACACTGCGCTTGAGATGGACGAGCGCTTTTCTGGGCGATGGCTTCCTGTCAGGCGTTTTGCAGTCATCCAAAAGGAAAAGCTGAGGCCCATTGACGACCTGAAAGAAAACCGAGTGAACGAGACTTTCTCGTCAACGGAAAGGGCGTCATTGTATGCCCTTGACCACCTGGTATGGGTTTCAATTTTTCTTTCGAGACTGTATACAGTCGGTGGCGAGTTCAACTTTGAATTGGAAGATGGAACGCAATTGTCTGGGTTTGTTCATAAAGACTGGATAGAAGCTGGCGTTGATTTGAAGGTCACAGCCATGGACTTGAAATCGGCGTACAAACAACTTCCTCTCAGTCCATCGATTCAGACAAAGCTGTCATTTCCTTGTGGAGCCAAGAGCACCAGGATGTGAGATGCTTCGAGTGTGCTACCCTCCCATTTGGAGCTTCAGCAAGCGTTCACAACTTCTTGAGGGTGAGTGCATTCCTGCAAGCCGCAGGTTGTGCGTTGGGGCTCTTGTGGACGAGTTACTTTGACGATTTCCCTATGGTATCTCATGCAATGCATGCCACCTCTACGTTGGCCTGCGCCAAGGGTCTCATGTCTCTTTTTGGTTTTGCTTACTCGGAGGAGAAGCTGGCCCCCTTCGACTACACTGCTGAAATTCTTGGAGTCGTCGTTGACTTGAGCAAAGCGTCGCAGAGAAAGATTTCAATCTCCAACAAACCTTCCAGGGTGGAGGAATTGGACCGTGCTTTGAGAGATATCCTTGAGTCTGGCGTGGTAGTGCCTAACCAGCTACCTTCTGTTTTGGGAAAACTTCAATATGCAGACTCCCATGTGTGGGGGCGAGCTGGCAAGCTGGCCTTGGCTGACTTGAGAGAGCTTGGACACACGGCACCTACGGCCGTACGTTTGGGTGACACTCAGATCAAGGCGTTCGAGATTCTTCAAGAGAGATTGTGCGGAGGAAAACCGAAATCTTTCATCGCAGATGACATGAAGAAACCTGTACTGCTTTTTACAGATGGTGCCCTTGAGTACGACACTGGAGAACCTCATGCAACGATAGGTGCAGTTTGTGTTTTCCCTGATGGGAACCCTGAAGTTTTCGGCAGTGAAGTTCCGAGCGCAGTCTTGGATGTCTGGAGACAAGGTGGGAAGTCCCATGTTATTGGATTGGTTGAACTCTATGCTTGCGTGGTGGCCTTGCGTCACTGGAAGAAAAGAGTATCTTCCGGAAGGGTCATCATGTTCGTCGACAACTGGCCTGCATTGGACGTGCTCGTCAAAGGGACGTCATTGCAGGAAGACTGGCGCAAACTCTTGCTCTTGTTGGAAGACCCAGCCGAAGACACGTTCCTTCTTTGGGTGGCGAGGGTTCCGTCGAGTTCCAATGTTGCTGACTTTCCAAGCCGAGGTTCAGTCCTGGAATTGGCCTTTCTAAGGCCGTTTACTTGCGTCAGCCCGAAATGCCCCATGTTAGGCACTGCTCTGTTTGATACCTTGGCTGAAGCAGACTTGGGTGAGAATCCGTTGTGAAAGATATGCCGGGATATGCAATCCCATCTTTCGTTTTCAATGCGATGAAACAATCAATGATGCAATGCGATATGGAAATCAATTTACGATTTCATTGGAGATCACCCTTGTCCGCCAACGAGAAGAAAACAGAGTTTTGCCTGAGCTGTCGATCGTTCATGTTTTCCGACTGCACTATTTTAAGTTTGTAGGTTTTGTTTAAGTTTGAGATGGTGTATGTTGTTCTCCCCCCATGCGTAGGATGCGAGAGCGTATGCGACGATGTATACAATTATATATATGTTTGATATGCACGTTGTTTACATATATGTCTGTTATGACGTATATATATTATGTGATGCACTGTAGGGACAAGGTCGTTTATAAGGTAGCAGTTAGACTTGTCTAATAGCTGTTTAGAAACTTGACCTTGCAGCCTTCTTTAGAAGGCGTCCCGAAAAAAGAAATGCCTTGAGCATCTTCAGATGTCAACCTCGGTGACAATGTTGTTACCTGAAACCAAATGCATGTTTTCTTTTTAAAACAGTTTGACACGCTGAGTATATATATATATATATACACACTACATGCCATGCACGCATATGTACTGTGTATACTCCATGAGTCATGACCACCGGAACTCTCACTCTTATAATGGGTTATGAATTTAATTCGTGTGGCATTTTACAACTCAAGATGCAGGGTTGGGTAGGGAGGGTCACCTTATGCATAGGTGAAATTTTTCATGCCCACCCTATGTACTCTGTACCCGCCCTCATCTGTATTTTTCACACATCCCTTAACCCATGGGTGAGAATCCGTTGTGAAAGATATGCCGGGATATGCAATCCCATCTTTCGTTTTCAATGCGATGAAACAATCAATGATGCAATGCGATATGGAAATCAATTTACGATTTCATTGGAGATCACCCTTGTCCGCCAACGAGAAGAAAACAGAGTTTTGCCTGAGCTGTCGATCGTTCATGTTTTCCGACTGCACTATTTTAAATTTGTAGGTTTTGTTTAAGTTTGAGATGGTGTATGTTGTTCTCCCCCCATGCGTAGGATGCGAGAGCGTATGCGACGATGTATACAATTATATATATATGTTTGATATGCACGTTGTTTACATATATGTCTGTTATGACGTATATATATTATGTGATGCACTGTAGGGACAAGGTCGTTTATACTGGATGAGAACCCCGAAACCAAGCATTGTTGAGGAAATGACTTTTTAACCCACAAAAAACCAAACATGGTTGATCCACCGATCACAATGAACTCCTGGTGGTGTGGCGCAAAGGTTGTGAGTTTACAGTGCTGAGGGTCACAACAGCTTCAAGAAGGCATTCCAACGTTAATCAGGCACTTCCTCTGACGAATGGAGGCTTGAATGGAATCACACGTGCACATTTGTCACATTGTATGATGAAAAAAATGCGACAAGGCAACGCCCATGCAGACCCCATGTCGATCGACATGTTTTGCTGCCATGGAAGTGTTCGCGGGCAGCATTGTTGTTTTTCCATGCGATATTTCGCGGTAGGTTGGTGCCCCAACATCTATCAAGTCATTGGTTTGCCGCTTTGTTTTCGCGCGGGAGGTTTACAATGATTTGAGAGGTGCCCCACAAAGGCCTTGCCCCAACTCGTGTCAGCCTTGCGTCGTTTGCTTTGCACGTTTCGTCCGTAATGACGTGCACAGCACATTTCCTACAATTTCTCGGTGTTTCTCTTGTGTGGCAGATTTTGCTTGAACAATTGGAAAAAATATGCATTGAAACACCTGGTAGCTTTTCATCGGCATTGGAAACAATCACATAATTTATTCAATCCTGACAGCAGCTGCAACGTGGTGTGATGCACAGTTGTATGCCCACGGTTTCACTCTTGTTCCATGAGTTAGCAGGAAACCATGGCAGAAACAAAACACAATTTTGTGATTTGAGTTCAAGTGCAAGAGCTGCGCAATTCATTCTGGATTTTGCATGGATGTCAATTTTGTTTCAGAACACCATGTATCAAACTATGTTGCCACCATGACATCATTTGACGCTCCTGGTTTGTTGAATTCGGAAAAATGGAACCGGAGCGAAAACTACATCACACTTCGCAAACTGGGTGCGTTCTGATGCATGCATTATGGTTCTTACTCGCAGGAATCAATATTTGTGGACATGGACCAAATTCGGCAACGTGTTCCAATGGCAAAATTCTATCACATACCGTGACATTTCCATGCAGCGAAAACACTTAAAAGTGAAAACAGTAAACAGGACATCCACCATTTTCAATTTGCACGCGCTGACACTGAATCCAATGCGACCATAGCCATGGCAGAGCCAGTTCAGCTGGCTTCGGTTCATGTTTGTACTTTGTGATGATTGGAATGATGTGAAATTGTGTTTTCATTGCTGAACTGTATAAATTTTGATTTAGCAAAAATTTTCTTGATGAAATGTCTCTCAAACAAATGTAAATGATTTGATGAAAAACGCAAAAGTGATGAAATTGAACTGCACTGTCATGCCAGGGGCCTTACACTGTCCCGAACTACGACCTTTTCGGTCATCATCATCACAGCAAACCCTTCAAGGCAGGTTTTCCACGATTCTCAAATTCTGTTTGAACGAACTTGTTACGAAATCGTGTGTGAAGTTTCAATGTCAGTTTTGTACATGGGGGGTTTGAAGTCAACGGGATTTGTGGGTTGAAGGCATCATTGCATTGAAAATCAATATTGTTATGAGGCATTTTGCAATTCTTTGTCATTGCAGGACAAATCGCACTTCGTCCAAAAAGATGCATATGCCTGAGTACTCTGAAAATGGCAAGCAAGGAAACACAACAGACTACAGACCCCTTGTTTTATCCTTTACAATGAAGTCCATGCGATGCCGTAACTAGCACAGTCTTCAAGTGTTTGCTTTGACGTCGAACGTGGACATTTGAACCTGAACTTAGATCCGCCATCCCAAGTGGTGCGACTGGCCTGTTTGAAGGATTTGTCCAATACAAATCATCCTTAGACGCTTAGAGTGGCACCAGGTGTGTTCCTAGAGAACTGCTTCAACAAATCTCACAGTCTCAAACTTTCTTGTCAGGTGTAGATTTTGTAGATCTAACATTATCCAAATTGTATATACAAATTGCCACTTGATGAACAGGCTGGATGAACCTCCTGCTATAAGATCCAGGGCAGAGCTGCAACAGGCTCAAATTATTTTGGATCAGTGCTTGTATCCAAGCATTCCGTAGGTCACCGTAGGTCACCATCTGCAGGATTGTTCCAAAACGATTTTGAAACAATGGTCTTGTTGATGTGGTTCACCGGCGCAGGCCCGCAAGCAGGGCAGAATTCCCGAAGTCAAGAGCTACGACTTTGATGGTGGGGAGAGTTTTTTTGTTGGCAGCCAAACAGTGCAGCTTCGCAAGTTGCAGGTGTTTCAAAATCTGCGAAACACCTTTCTTGAAGAATTCCACAAGATTTCTCCGTCATGCCGACTTGACCGCATTTTATTCACCACATTTTGGCCAGGTGATGGCGTCGTTGGGCAACTGGACTATTTTATAGGTAAATGCTTCGACCAAGATGCCGATGGTCGGCTCACCACCGGTGAACGCCGGCGAGCCGAAAAGGCGATCCGCGATCAGAAGCGATCTTCTGGATAGTGGCAGTTTTTTACATGTAAAAAACCACCCTCATTTCACCATCAATGGGTATAATAAACCATCAAAAATTGGGATGGTTTATTAAAACCACGGTTTGTTTGGGTTTCTCACACTTCTCAAAAAAAGGCCTCTGATCACACTACCTTGCATGAGTCACGCTGAGTCCATTTGAATCATTTGTGGACTTCAGACGTTTGAACTCTCGCTTTTCCTACTGCATTATTTTTTGATATTTTTTGTGGACACCAAGCAGCTGCATAATGGGTTTAGGGAACGATGTCTTTAAGACATCGTTCCCTAAACCCTTTCTGCTAAGTTAGCAATTCAATGCCAGGCACTTCAAAATGGTTTCTTGGACAAGTTCGTGAGGGGTTTGGATGCAACTGGTGACGTTTGCCCGGCGAGTTGATTCCAACAACAGTAGAGCAAACTGTTTGTCAAGAGTTTTCAAGGAAACTAATTGATTCATGCGCTGGAACCTGCCAACTTGCTTGCGAGTGGCCAGGTCCACAAATGCGGCCCGGTCCAGGACTGATTTGCAAGAGCTGTCAGAGCTGTCAACAGATGCAATGATTCAATCTGCACCAAAACAAGTGTTGTTGCAGAAGCAGGGTAAGATATGGTAATATGGTATGGACGAGTCCCAGGACAAACAAATCATCCCTATGCAAAAGTCGTACCATCCACACTGATATCAAAAACGATTCACTCTGAGATCAAGCAGAAGCGTGGGGTGATTTGCGGCCCCGACAGTGCCAATGAAGCTAGTGTTTCGACGTGCCCTTCGCAATGAAATCACAGGTGGTGTTCATGTCCAAGAGTCAGAGCAGAACTTGGCAGGTTTGAAGTTTTCAGGTACCCACCTCATTTCAATGCTGACAAAGTGCCGGAACACTACACCAGGACAGAATCATGAATTTTCTGCAATGACTTGCGGACTTGCGACTCCTTCAATGTCCACAAACTCAGTAACTGTCAGTAACTGTCAGTAACCTGTCAGTAACCTGTTAGTAACCTGTCAGTAACCTGTGCCTGTGCAGGACCACCTTGAAAGAGACCAGAAAAGCAGAGCTGAAGGGTGCAGGTCTGGTGCATGGTGAAAACTGGGCTGCTCGTTGTGAGCCAGCAGAGGTCTCAGATGGTCTCAGCCGTCTCAGCCGTCTCAGCCTGGCAAGCTGTGGCAAGCTGTGGCAAGCTGTGGCAAGCTGTGGCAAGCTGTGGCATGTCTGGCAAGCTTCAGTCTCTTCATTTCGAGTTGCAGACACTCAGTTTGGAAAGCAATTCAGCAGTCGATTCATATCACAGTTTCTTTTCTGTCTCATTCATCTCAATGTTTGACAGGGCGTAAAATTTCTATATTAGATGCACAGCGGCCGTATGTCGAGCAAGTGAGGTCAAAGAGCGGCAGCCCCCCAATCACGAGACGCAGCCCAGAACTTGCATGGATGCTTAGCTGTTTGGCCCAGCGTTGTGAGGCCTGTCAGATCTTGGGCAATGTTGAGGCAGGAGAAGACTCCGCAGATTAGATTGACCCATATCATTTGATGGTCATCAATTCATCACTAGGGATTGATACACTCATAAGGAATCCCTAATGTGGGATGACTCAATGACCATAAATCATCAAACCATACACCAAGTACCATGTTTTGAGCATGGCATGGCACTCAGGTCCCATCAGCCATATCCGTGAACGGGCAGAGGGCGACCACCAGGCCGTGATGTCATTGTCCAATACGCGTGAGATCTTGAAGATTCTTGAAGTACTTGGTTGTGAGCCCTTAGGTCAAACCCTGATTGTTGGGGTCACCTTTAGGGGCTTGAATCCCCATGGTGATATTCAGCATAGCTATGGAAAATCACCATTTTTAATGGGAAAATCCACTATAAATGTTGATTTTCCATAGTTATGTTAAATTACCAGAGGGTATATAGAGCATATCAAATCCTTGTGTTTCCCGCGGCTGCCAGTTGGCTCGCGTGCGTGGTGGATTGATGCCCATGAGCTACCCGGTGAACCCAGAACGTGAGTACAAGACAGCGGGTGAAGGGAGGTCCTGATGGCTTTTCCAAGATCTGCCAAGATGTTTCAAGATGCAAAAGTGAGAATCACTCGACCATTCATTTCCATCTTGTTGTTTTGCCTCCCCTCAGAGATATCTTCGTTCAGCGCAGATATTGATATGATGATATATGATGCTATCGTTTCACGCATCTTCTGTATTCTTTGTCCTGGGTTTATTTGCGATCCTATGTCTCCTTGGTCAGTATCAAAGCGAATTTTGTTGCGCTAGATTTCTCCTCGATTTTGGTCAGGACTGTGGGAATCGAACGCACGGAGGAACCCATCTTTCGGACACGCAGCCAGTCATGCCCTCAGAAGCTGCTCCAATGGAGTCGTGGTTGCTACAACCAGTGTTGAAGTTGAATGAAGCAGTGATTTCCTCGTGGTTTCAGGATTGAAAGAGGACTCTTCTTGCATTTTTTTCAGAATGGCGTTTCATGGTGTACAACAAACACAGTTTCAAGATACTTCAAGTTGATGCATCCGAGGCTTCTAGAGACTCGGAAAGAGCTCATGAAACGTGACAACGAGGAGCCTGACTGTTGATGTTTTTGCATGTCAGCGATACTTTTTTCAGCTGATTGGAAGCCACAAGGAGTTGCGAGCTCAAGGCGATGAGTACTACGTGCCATTGTCTATCCGCAATGGGGAACAGGAGGTGCCACGCTCATATGATTCTTTGATTGTTTTTGCATGTCATAACCATGGATTTTTTTAACCAACCACAGAGCGGAATTTGACCCATCACGGCTCTGCACGGTCGTCCTAGGTGAATCACCATCTCTTCCGTGAGCCAAGGGAAGAGCCGCAGACTTTGACGAAAATGAAGGACAGTGGTCATTAGCTGACCTGTAGAGTAAGCCATAGCAATGCAGGTGCATGTAGGTCTGCCAGATGGCTCGATCCGTTGATCGAGCGAGATTTTTTTCGCAGGATCAGAGAAGGAAAGACAAGGCATTTCCAGCCGGGATTGTGCTCAGCTCCGTTGAAAGGTGTTTGATTTGGTGGCTTTACACATGAAGCAAGACCCAGAAGCCTGGTTGATTGGTTACTAACATGGGTTACGCTACCCAGGGATATTGGGGATCATCGAACTGGGAATCCATATCCTGAATCCATAAACCTAATAATCATCCCCATGATGATCCCTATCCCTCAAATCTTTTTTCATCTTCATCAACCAGTCTATTGGGATTTTACAGACCCAAATAGCCTGGATTTCTTCGATCGGCACGAGCCTTGTTCAGATGGAGTACGACATGACGCACTTCAGCTTTCCAAAAGCCTTCCCTCGGCAGTGCGCAGCGGTTTTTTTTAAATGAACTCATTGGGCTCAATAAGCATCAAAGTGGGATATTTTTAACCAGCCAAAATGGGATATGATACAATGGGATATCATTGGGATATCATTGGTGAGATGTGATTAATGGGATATATCTATCACCAACAACATTGGAGTGTGCCTTTTAAAATGGGGCATCGCAAAAAGAAACCCAAGTTTCTGGCAACTTTCATGGGGAAAATGATACCTGTCCGCAGGTACCCCAAATATTCCGACCATCCTGACATCCCGTTCTGGGTAGCGAGCCAAGAAAGGTAGCACATGGCACGACATTAAAGCCGACTGGACCGATTATGACAGATAAGAACGTGTTAAACTTGATGGATCCTTTGAAGTGTTGTCTGAAGTATTCCATGCCGGCAGCTGAGCAGCCCAAGGTGTCCAATGCTGAGAGTGCTCGTATTGGAGAGGCTCCACCAAGGGCAATGCCAAGGTACGCCTTTTCTGCAGACCTGCCTGTTGAAGTTAACCAACGCAAGTTTATTCACAGAAAGGTATGGCTCCATTGAGAAGAGCACACGGAAGCATTATTAGCCTACTTTTGGCTTGAGAATCGGATGTGATGATCTCAAGACTCGAAGCTTTTGATCTCAAGTTGCATTGCATACATATATATATATAAATAATATCTCGATAATGTCTAATAAATCAAATAGATGCATAGATTAAGTGAATAAGTGAGTATACACATTTTTTCTAAACTCGAAATCCCAGTTGCCCGGCGCAGGACCATCAGTGAACCCACCTTCAAGGTCACAGAACTTCCTTATGGCGATGAACCCAGTGTCAGCTATGACAACATCGCAGGCCGAAAGCAGTGCAGTCGTGGATCCCAACAAGCTCCTTGCTTTTGATGATGTCTAGCAAAGAATAGACCTGAGCTTTTAATGACAATGTCTAGCAAGAATGGTTCAAATATTGCCCCAACATTTGTTTGTTTGTTGTTTGTTTTCTTTTTTCTGGCGTTGGAATTATTTGGCTTGTGGACACGCTGCATTTTTTTGGTGCCTAGCTGCATCCTGGCAGATTCTGGAAAAGAGCTGGCTGCGGGAAAGTTCTCTACCAAGCAGGTGGATGTATCATCTTGGGAGGTTTTCTGGGATTCCTGGATGCTTGTTACGCTAGTCCTTGGACACACTGAAGAGTGTTTCAGTTCCCTTCTTAAAGTCATTCAAGCAGATGTGGAAGGAATAATCTTGTTTTGAATTTGGTTTTCTCTTTAAATCTTTCGACATAAATTGATGAAAGCTGTGGTGCTGTGGTCCTGTGGTCTGTATATAACTTGCAGTACTTGCAGTCAGAGCAAGCGCATTGTGACAGATGACTCTGGGAAGTAAGACGGTGAAGCGGTGGTCTACGGATATGCTGGAGCGCGGGCAGGCTGAAGCTGCTGAAGCAGCTGAGGGTTGTAGGGTTGTGGAGCTTTCCATGATGACACCGAGTAGCCGAGTAGCCTTCGGTAATCAACCATGGCTAGGTGGAAAACCCCAACAAAATGGAGGTTTTACTGGGAAAATCACAAACGAAATCGGATTTTTTCAGCAAACCATGTTTGATTACCACACGGTAGCTGAAGCTATAGCACCTGAGAGGACAAACCTTTGGCGGTAGGAGCAGGTTTTGCAGCAGCGAAAGTCCTGTTGAATTTCCCGTCTGAGCCAGGCACGAAATCAGCCGCGGCTTTTTGACAATATCCGACCAGCGGGGATCCTCAATGTTGGGTTCACTGATCAAGCAAAAGCTGCCCCCCCCCAAAAAAGGCACCTTATTGACGATCCTGCCAATAATACTAATCATCATAGTAACAATATGTAACAATAATACTAATCGTCATAGTAACAATATGCAACAATAATGATATATAATAATAGTAATAACAATGATCATAACAATATATAACAATAACAAAATTACTTGTTTTTTTTCCCCAAAGAAAGTGACAAAAAACCCATCGCCGGGAGGTACGCATTGGTTCCAAAGATTTGGAGCCATTGGACTTGACGTGCGCCAGCTGTGTGTGGCATAGAGTTCCATTTTTTCAATGGATTGGTTTAAGGGAAAATCTACAGGAAACCCATGGGTTTTTACCATCAAATTGATCGGGCTTTCCTGTATGATTTTTGCGCTTGGAGTCCATTGGAGTCCCACCCAGAACGTCATCTTGACTCTGCCAAGATGCGAAGAAATATCTCCACAACAATGCATAAGCAGTGTCTGTATGAAATGTGACCAGCTGCAAGAATTGGTCCTACGTGTCCCTTGGTTGTCCCTTGGTTGCTATGATCGGACTGGCTGTTTGGGAAAGGTTGGCCGAAAGTCCCTGAGTCACAGGTCCTCCTTTGAGCCCATCAGATCAGCGGCACTGCGCCGGCAAGCGGAAGAAAGGAAGCGGGTCTGCCTGGCGCGGTTTGAACCATGTGGGGACCTTTTCCAGGACAGGCATCAAAATCACCAGAATGGTGGTTCTTAAAATGGGGGATCCCCATTTTATCATATTTTATCATAGTTTTCAAGACCTAAAATGGTGTAATGACTTGGATGATTTGCGGGGTAGCTCCATTTTAGGAACCTCCAAATGATGTCTGTGAAGAAAGGACGTGAAGGCTTAAGGAGTCCGGTTGACGCTTCAAGTGGTGCCAAACATTGAACCGCCAGATGGCTTCCATCCCCAAGCGCAGCCGTCTCTACGTGGATCCTAACGAGGCGGGTGCCAGAGAGGAGTCCTGGAAAGCGTTCCAAAAATGGGCTCATACCTTTCAAACGTCCACTGGAACTGTTTTTTTTCCCATAGATTTTCAGACAAACCCAGCTGAAAATCTGGTGAAGAAAGACATCTCTCGTTTCGATCTGGTGCAGGAACCGAACCTGAAAACGGTGGCCTCACATGGCAATGGTGGGCGGGTCATGCCTTCAGACTGGATCAATCCTTTCTGTTGAGAGAGTCCATTTGAGTTGCTGGAATCAGAATTTGAGAAAATCTGGTTTGTCTGGTTTGTCTGCTTTGTCTGAAAGGCTTAAACGAGATTGTATCTGAAAGAAAATTAAACCAAGAGTTTGTCTTTTGGATACAGGCTTAATTTGCATACTTTGCTTTTCTCCGAGAAAGAAATGAAACACAATTTGGACTCCTGCATGAACCTCATGAGAAAAAAGGTTTGCCGAGTTTTGCATTTTAAATCGCCGTTCGCGTTTGTCTCCAGCAGCTGCAGCTTGAGTTTTTATATATTAGGTATTGATTCTGCAGGAAATTATTGCACGCATTTCTTCATCTTGGGAGCCAGATTCTGCTAGGGCTCCTTCATTGACTCCTCAGATCATGGCTCTGGGCCTCGTGTGGAGCGATGGGGTTGCGATGTTTCCTCCGCAACGGTTGCGGTGATTGTGGGGTACTGATCAAGATTGGTTGCGGATTATCATGGATCATCCAGCAACATCCAGCAACCCGCCAATTGTTCTGATACGCCAATTTTGACCCATGGTGATGGCACCCAAATGGGTCTTGTGGGACTGGAAGTCGGGCTGCAGGAGCCACCAATGTCCGCAACTTCAGCTGCGACCAGGATGGAAAGGGTGTTTGGCAATGGGATGCAATGGGCGCAACTTTCAGCATCTTAGAATCTTGAATCGCTTGGATCCAGAAGCATGCAGGATGCCTTCACGTCGTCCCCTTGGGAATGATATGCGGCCTCCAGTCAGTTTGGGTGCCAAGCTTGCAGTAGCAGTACAGAGCATTTTCACGTGGGCAAGGAATTCCCATGGAGAAAGACTTCCCATGGATCCTAAAGTCTAACGAGTCTAGTGTCCAAGTTATATATTTCCTTTGCACACACACATATATATATATAGATAGTATACATACATATACATAAATAATATATATATATATACATATATATATATATATAGATAGATAGATAGATAGATAGATAGATAGATCGATAGATAGAGATCCTTAGATCTTCCGCATTTCGCCTGGTTGTTGTTTTCTGTGCGTTTCCCTCTGCCACCTTAACCCGAACTGAGTTGAGTCGCCCAAAGAGCCGAGGAGCGACCAGTCTTGGGATGTCTTTGAATCTGTTGAAGCAGCAATTTAGCCCTTAAGAAATGGTGCTTCCACCTTCAGCGCCAGGATCTTTGGGACTCAAAACATGACCCGGCCACTTCAGGCCGTTGGAACCGTTGGAATGAGGGCCGCGTGAGTTTTTGATGAGTTTTTTGCATCATATTTTTTTTTGCTTCGCATCGACGCATCGCTGTCATCAGTTTCACCTTACGAAACCTGACCCCAGATCTCGTTGTGCCAGTCCGGTATTCGCTGTGGTGGTTTCCAGCATTTGGACGGCACGTGCAAGACCTCAGAGTGCGAGACTTTGAAGCCTCGAGCCATTGAAAGTCATTCTATTAGAATATATTAATAATATAGATTTATATATAATATATTGTATACCAACTAAACCAGAATCGCAAGAATTCCTACAACTCTTCCAAAATCGTACAATTTTTTTAGATTCTCGCAACTCTCCGGTTGTATCGGGAGATTCCTGCAATTCCCAAAAATTCTTGCAATTCTCCGGTTGTATCAGGTGATCTTTTTTTTTAAAATTTTTATAGATATTCTCCAAACCACTGTTCCTCTTTCCGCTTCCTTTTTCCCTCATTCACCATCTTCACCATCATCCACCAGATGGCGCCGTAGCGATGCCAAGTAAAGGTCATATGTTCTCTGAACGGTGAGACGAGGTGAAACCCGACGAGAAAACCTAGATATCACTCCAATGAAGGACTCATCTATTTGAGTCGCATCCACTAAAGGTGACTCACACCATTGGTGTGTCGGGCTAAATTGTTTCAAAAATTTGAATGTATGGTACAGCATATGCGGTTTACAGTGAAGCGGGAACCGGGGTTCCAAGCGTTCAAGCGAAATTTTTGCCAAGCGATTCTGCGCTCGAAGCATCAGAAGACCCTGATCCGAAATGCTGGATGCCTCCTCTGAGCTCAGCCAAGCGCCCAAACGGTACAGCTGCCTGAAGACAAAGTTGATGCTTCGCCTCAATTCACAAGCCGCCAAAAAAAATTAAAACAATTTCTGCCAACACTTGCAGCCATGGCTACTTTCATTATTTAAAGCGAATCATATTTTATCTTACCTTCACTTTTGCTATTCCAACCAAGGTTGATTTAATTAATCTAAATTCCCTACTTACACTATTTATTTACAGCGAAACATATTATATTTTACCTTCACTTTTGCGATGTTCCAACCAACATTGATTTAAATAATCTTAATTCACTACTTACACTCATATTTTTACAGCGAAACATATTTTATTTTACCTTCACTTTTGTGATGTTCCAACCAACGATAGCCAACATTAATTTAATTAATCTAAATTCATAATGTTTTAATCATAGTCCTAAACATAAAATCAGACATAATCAGACTAAATATTTAATTTATCGAATTTATTTTTTGGGCAAGGCTCGTGGCCAAAGCAATGAGAGGGATTCGGCTATCCTCTTCTCCCAGTTCAACCACGATGTCATCTTGGAGAAATGACTCCATCCATTCCTAACTTCCACTGGATGAAAGCAAATATGAACAACAACATACCAAGCTTTGTTAAAGTTAAAAGTGTGGAAAAAAGTTTTGGGGTCTACCATGCCAGGTTTCAAGCAGCAAGGTAGTCGTTGCACCTTTCTGCCAACCACCTTCTGGCCAGTCAAGCCCTGATTTGAAGCCTAGGCTATCTCTTCCAATCTTCATCAAATACGGACGTTCCTTAGCATTTTGCTCTGCTTTGAACATGGAAAAGGCATGTAAGTTTAACGTGCCACTTCAAGATTTCAGGGTTCCAAGACTTTACTATGGAAACCACCAAGTATCATTTCGGAGCTTGCAAAACGTCAGCCACATAGTCGTCATAGAAGCAAACCTGCTTTCGACAGAATTTCCAGGGAAAAGGGTGGAACACTGCTGGAGCACCACCAAGCTTGAAGCCACAAAGTAGCGACCTGCACCAAGATGCCAATTATGAAATATATCTGGCCGCAAGATGAAAGGTCGAAATTGAGGCTCTGCAGGCAGATCTAATATCCATGGTGACAATGTCTCCCAAGGTGACAAAGCCTGAATGCATCAGTGGTAGATGAGCACACCATGAGACAACCATGCAAAAATCTGCAAAAGGCATTCTTTCAACAAGGCAAATCCAAGACACTGCTGCGCTGAACATCGTTTCCTCAAATCGAGGAGCTTCGGAAACATCAGTGAATGGGATATTATCATATCCAGCCAAACAAAGATGGCACACCCCTTCCGATTGCATGTTGGACTGTCCCCTCTTCGGCGCTCGCCTGAAATGGCGGTGCAACCGTCCACATTCGATCAAGAATGGCCAATCACCTTTGATGCCCGTGACAGCCAATCTTAGGACCATGGGCGCGCCAGGAAGCCCTACATCCACACCAGTTTTCATGGCAACGAGCAAGTCGCTAGAAACCAAGCCCATCCCCTCATCCAGACATTCAGGATGATCAGCGTAAGTCTCACGAAGAGCTGCAAACGCAAGCCAGCGACAAAGTTCCTTGACAGGTCATTTTACTTCCAGGAAAATATATGTTGACACTAGACCCCAATAAAGCGAAATTATCAAATTAATCTGTCACTAAAATCTGTCAAGACACTGGGGGCCCTAGCCTGGAGTGAAGTAAAGGCCGATGCTCAAACATTTTAACAGTGAACAAACATTTCTTGGGGCAAAGGTTCAAAATTTAAACTGAAATTAAGCTGCAGCCACATGTTCAATCGCTGACTGGCGATTTGCTTTTCCAGAGGTTGCTCAACAGACTTGCTGGTGCCACATCCAAGTACAGGGCTCCAGCTGAGCACCATGATTGGAGCTTTCCTTTTACCTGGAAGGGCCAGAAAGCAAGGATTTGGAATTTAAGACATGTCATACAAAACCACATTTGAATCAATCAAAAGCCAAGGTGCTTCGACCTTCATCTCCATGAAGTTTGATGGGTAGAGTTCTAGCCAGCTCTTCATTGGAAAGGATTTCAAAAATTTCATGCCGGGGAAATAAAGACCGATACCTCGACCAATACGTTCGCAGCATTTGCTCCGAGGAAGGCAGGTCCTTTTCTGGAAGGATGACATCTAAGCGGTCCCATCCATGCAGCATTTTCACCAAATCAGTTGGCTTCAGCCATGGATAACCTCAGGTTTTCAGAAGCAGTGAAAATTCGAAACATCCAGCCATCTAGCATCAAGGGCTACATTCTTTTCATCTCCCATCAACAAATAGTGCCATGTCACTTTCATTGTCGCCGACCTTCCCACAACTCACAGGGACAGGCGCTCGGAGAGCCGCACTATCAAGGGCTTTGAAGCATTCCCTTGCCTGGGGTGTGACCATGATCATTCTGGAAAGCTATGGGAAACTACACAATCAAATTTGGGGGTATCACAATATATGACACAAAAAAATAATCCAGCTAGAGGGACAGCATGGGCTGAGCCTTTTGCCAACCTTTCCAGCACGCGATCGTTTCTTTGAAAGCCCAAGCGTGCATCGTCTTCCAATATCGCCTGCGCGTGTTCTGCCAATTGAATAGCAGGAGCCTCAGTTGCAAGATTGGCTTGAAGCGCCAAACCAGGAAATTCATAAATCTATATAACTTAAACTCGAGGATCAATTTAGGTTAACTTAACTGAGTTTCACTTAATTCTGTTTAGTTTAATTTAAGCTTAATTGACTTTAACCTAATTCTGTTTAGTTTAACTTTAGCTTAATTGAGTTTAACTTAATTCTGATTAGTTTAACTTAAGCCTTAAGCTTAATTGAATTTAACTTAAATTAACTTACTTCATTTTAGTTTATTTGAATTTAATTGAGTTTAACTTAGTTTAATTTCGTCTTACGTAACTTAATTGAGTTTAACTCAATTAAATGTAGTTTAATTTATCTCAACTTAATTCAAATGAGTTAACTTAACTTGAGCTGAATTAGGTGCTTACTAGGCAAGCTGGCTCAACAGATTCACAGAATGCCAGGCCAGCTGGTCTTTCACCATTGACCTTAATTTTAAATGAATGCTCATTTTCAATGCTGCTTCCGTTAAAATTAAGTTTGGCTTAAATGATCATTTAATTCAAGTCAAAGATCATAATTTTCAAGTTAATTGGGGTAATTAAATGTTCAAGTTTATAACTTCAGCTTATAAGTTAATTCGAGTTAATTTAAATTAACCTTATAGCAATCAAGGCTCTCCTCTGGCAAGGCTGCTGGCCAGGCTTGAAGCAGTGCGGCTGGGGCGAAGGTTGCGAGAGCTCTTGCGCTTCTGCACCGTTCCTGGCTTGAAAATAGTACATGTTTTTTTTGGGGGGGTTTTGGTCATGCATGTGGTGCATGCAACCAAAGCATGCATGCACTGGACCTTTTTTCACTTCTCGCCAAACCTTAAGATCGATAGTCGCGAAATCTCAAGATGCACACTCCCGCAGAGTATTCTGCAGGTTGGTGCCATGAATCCCCTTTTCCCCTGAAATCTAAGTTCGCCAGAATCAGTCATAGGGTCAAGTCTCAGGATGTGGCCCCCACCCCAATTAGACATCAACTATATTGAATATGGTATATTGTAGCATTGCCAATTTACTTTTATGGATTTTGGTGGGCATTGACAGGGCTGAGACCCCCTAAACCCTGTGACAGCTCCAACACTCGCCTGCTGATTTCAAGCATGAAGGTGCTATGGCAACTAGAGTACTGTACGTCACACATAGTTTCTAGGCTCCCTTGGCCTTGGCTTTGCTCCTGCGTGTGCTAGCCTTTGCCTTGGGAGCGGGTCCTTCGTTTCCTTCATCTCCAGGGGGTGCCCCATCTTCGCGCTTTCTCTTCTTGAGTTCAGTCAGCAGCAATTTGTAGGTATGTTCTGCGGCCATAATCTTCACACACCTCAGTTTGTGGTGATGTTCGTGGAACCCCAAAAACCGAAGCTATTGAATTCTTGGTCGGCCCGTTAAATCCCAAATTGAGGTATTTAATTTCTACAATACAAGGAAACCCAAATTTGAAGCATTGCCATACTCTAGCATACTGGCCCTCCTTATCGCTTCTTAGAAGCCAAATTTTAAAGGGCACCTGAGCCCGATGGAAGTTAGCATTACCAAACCATCCCATTATCAGCCGCGACTCAATATAGAAAATTATAACTCATTTGATTTTTTTTTTGCAAAATAAAAATTACTACTGTCCCAGAATGGCGCCAAGGAGCGGATCACGAGCAGTGGCCTTTGCGACATTGATGTCCGCAAGGAGCCTCAGGGTGGCATGGGGTGGACCAATGTTGTATTGTTGGC